AGACGAAAGCGAGGCGGTGGTTGTGGACAAAAACAGAAACAAAAACATTGGTGGATGGTTGTGGACAAACATTAGATAGTGATGGACATAAACACTGACTATACCATAAATCTTTACTAGGGGTATAACAATCATCTCACTTCATGTGAACAATAATTTGTAGCATTTTTTTAGAATTTTTTAATAATTAACATTTCGAACATTTTTTCAAATAATGGCATTTTCGGCAAAAATTCTTAAACAAAATTTCATTTCCACCCAAACAAAATTAATCACATATTGACCAAGTGGGCACATAATTCATGACTTATGGTCAAAGTCGTTGGTAAAAAAGTTTAGAGAGTTGAAATAGGCTTTTAGCAATTCTTACGCTATTTTAATAAAAACATTTTCAAAATTGGTTTACTCCAACTCTCTTTGATTTGATATTTACTTTTCACGAAAGGTGTTAACTCTTTTGACCAGCTAAATTTTTCAGAACAACTCCATTGCTCAGAAAACTAAAAGAGTTTCTCATGTAATATATTACTATATTATATTAACAATAATATAGTTTAATTATTCCTTTAAATTTTGAATAATAAAAAGAAACATAACTAGTCATGTAATCCATGTGTCAAATAAGTTTTTCAAAAAAAAATCGTTTCTCTTCTTCTTTTTTACCTTTTTTAATTATGTAATATTTACTAACTTAGGTTGATACTCCATAGATAACTCCCAGTAAACAAAATTATCTAAGTAAGTAACCAAGTGGATGGTAAACTATTGGTCATGATTATACTAGTGGACATCATATCTTAGACATTTTTATACGTTTTTTTACGCATATTTCAAAAGATAATTAAATCCTCCAATTATATATTTTGTGTTAACATCAACCTAATACCGTCGAAAATTATTCGAATTAGTAAATGTTTTTAATTATTTATTGTTGGTGCAGTCAAAAGGTTAATACATTTTACAAAGTGGTTATTCACATCAATCCTTATAATATATTGGTTGTGAATGTTATGCATTAATAAAGTAACAAAAATTTGAGTAAAATTGAGGTTTATAGCTGGGGAAAAAAAATTTGTTTACTTGTGGGACCTAGTATTCCATTTTTTTCTCTAAAATTATACCAGTCATAGATTTGTATTTTGCATTTTTATTTATGATTATTCGTCATGAAAAATAACGTGATTCAAAAGTTTAATGAAGTAATTATTTGTTGTAAGTTTGATCAAAGAAGTTAGTAACAATTAACCAGGGTAAATCCCATGTATTTTTGCCATTTAAACAATTATTTGACGACAAAAATAAACAATTATTTATTTTCTACTGTAAACTCTAGTTGGTGAATAACTAAAACAAGGAGTAGTATTGGAAAATCGCTTTGAGCATTCCATTAATTGTATTCATAACAAAAGAATTTACAATTTGAGAGAAATAACAAAAACCAAAAAGATAACAAAAAGTGGAAGTCGAAAATAACGGACGAACCAGCTTAGTAGCTTTACATACACTCCTTTTTTCTCCCAAAATTGAATTCTCTACATTTTCTAAGCCTCTAAACTAAAAATCTTTTTTAAAAAACTTAAATTTATATACACTTGGGGGTCCCATTTGGGATTTTTTTCCTTTCCTATTCCTTTTCATTTCTGTATTTTTCTCTTAACCAATGAAATAAAGAAAACTAGTTTTTTTCTCTATAAATAGAAAGAAAGTATTCCTCACTTTCTGATTTTAGAAAGTTTAGGGGTATTCTCGTAAATTCCACTCCGGCTTTCGTTCCAAGGCAATAGGCAATCCATTCAGAGGTAGAGCGAACGGCCCATACTGAATTCCATCACTAGGTCCAATAATTGACCACCTGAATTGACCAAAATACCCCTTATCAGAAAAACAAATTTCCAAAAAAGCTTATCCGACGCCGTTTCACGTCAACTTCAAAAAGGACTATTATGATTTTATAAGTACCAACCTGTACTTAGTGGTAAGATGATGGATTAGAGTGGAGATTTCAAGTTTAGCTAACTCATTGCCCGGACAAGAATGAATCCCATTTCCAAATGGCATGAATGTATTCGGTTTCGGCGCAACTTCAAATCTCGATGGATCGAATTTTCCAGGATCCGAGAAGTTATCAGCGTTGTGATGAATATTTCTGAATAGCGGCAATACTTTCCATCCTTTTGGTATCAAATATCCTGTTTACAACATAAAAAAAGCTCAAAACTTTAGTATATTTGATAGCAAAACATTTTGATCTAAAAAACGATATAAAATTCGTATAGTTTTTGCATACCTTCGTATTCGACATCTTCAACAGCTTCTCTAAATGTGAAAGATAGGATTGAAGCAACTCTCATTGTCTCTTGAATGACTCTATAGGTTAATGGCATCTTCTTTGTATCTTCCCAAGTGAGACTCTCTCCTTCTTTTTTCCCTTTCCTTATCACCATTTGCTCTTCCTGTTTTACCCAATAAAAAACCCATTAATTTACGGAACTGCCACTGCCTCATGAGATTCTCAAGTGTGCTTTCGAAAAAAGATTGTACTACTTACAGTGACAGCTTCTAGAACAGTTGGATTATCAGCTAAGTACTTGAGGATCCACGTAAGAACACTCGCCGTCGTGTCTCTAGCGGCGAAGATAACTCCGATGATGTTATCGGCGATTTGTTCGTCGGTTAGTCCTTCTTTGTCTTCCATGAATGATCCGAGAAGATCTTTGTGTGTAGATGAGTTTTGTCTTCTCTTGGATAAGATCTTGGCGAGGATTTGAGCTAGCTCCTTGCGAGCTTTCATTGCTTTGTGGAATAGTGTTCCCGGGAGATTAATCGGCATCGAATTGTAACCTTTCTCTAGTATGTAGTAGCATCGTTTTAGATCTTCTCTGTAAAAAACTTCGTCTTTTCCGAGTATTGAGATCAATGCCACGTTGAAAGTGTACTGTAATACAAAGAAATCGAGTCAATTAGAAAACAGAGTATAGT